TGTGACATTCATTTGTTTTGGTGAGCGATTTTCATCATAGCAACAGCCGGTAGATGTGCAAAGAATTAAACGCTTGTTTGAGAAGATTATAGTTTCTCATTTTTAGATGGAAGAATTGCAGTTTATTTAGTACAGGTATTTTAACGCGTTGTTTTTTACATCGATTCTACTCGTTTTTTTTTTTTTCTTTTTTTTTACATCGATTCTACTCGTTTTTTTTTTTTTTTTTTTTTTTTTTTACATCGATTCTACTCGATTTAGTTGCGTTGTCTCTTTATTACAATATATTTTTCTATATAACAAATAGATACCTCTAAACTAACAAAGACAAATAGAAAGATGATTTAGAATACTGAAGAAAACAGAAAAAAAAAAAATCATAATACATCAACTTTTTAATCTTTTGTGTTGGATTAAAATCAATATATCAACAATTTCTAAATCAGAAACTAGATTTTGCGGAAGAGTGAATGATGGATTCTGCAATGGAGATTTGCATGACTGAAGATGACGGCGGAGGAATTGCAAATTTAGTCGTAGAGTTTAAAGATGTCAAGCTTCTTGATGATGATTTGCGAAGTGGATGATTTGTTAGTGTATCGATCTGACAGCAATTTCTGGTTATGATGATGCTACGTTTTGTTGAAAAGAATGGTTCGAAATTCTCTCTCTCTTTGTTTATCTGTCTCTCTACTCTCTCTCTCTCTCTCTCTTAATCAATAAATCTATATATCTCTTTTTTTCTTCTCTCTCTCTCTCTCTCTCTCTCTCTCTCTCTCTCTCTCTCTCTCTCTCTCTCTCTCTCTCTCTCTCTCTCTCTCTCTCTCTCTCTACGTCGCACTCGCTTTTTCACGTGTGACATGTAATGTAAGAACTTCACAGTGTACTCAGAAAGGTACTCACCAACCACTCAAAAAACTGCACGATTTCTTAAAACGTACCTGTTGGAGAAGAAAAAAAAATCTTTAATACGAATGTAAAAACTTGGTATAAAAGTATTGGCAGATTAGTTATAACGGAAAACATGGTCCAAAAAAGAGAGATTTCGTCATAGATCAACACAAAAAGAAATGCAATAATTGATACTAATAAAAACCTAAATAATTACGAAATAGACATGATATTTCACGTTCATAGTTCCACATGATTCCCCAAATACTAGTGTTGGCTGCGGTTACTCCTCAGTCAATTAGTACATAAATTCTAACAATAAACTCGTTACAGTGTTTTGAGTTTCAAAAACCTATTATTAGTGCCATCTCGCGGGTGAATTGACAACGGGAAGGCGTTGGGGAGGAACTTACAAGAAAAAGTTAAATTTCCTCTCTTAAGCAGAGGAAGAGTACAATTGTCTCAGAAGAAAAAATGTAAGTAAAAAAGTCTTTTATTAGATTAACAATAATCTCAGCAAAAGAAAGTAAAAGAAAAGTAAAAATAATCTTAAATTGAGCAATAGTCTCCGCTCAAAAGAAACGAAAGGAAGACGATAAAACTATGAAGATACAATTCTGAACTCAGCAGTAATAAAAAGAGAAAAATAACCAAATAAAAATCCTCCTTTTAAACCAAGTAACAATTTCAGAGAAGTCACCGTACTCTGAACGATGCCGTATTGTTGTCAGTGTACCCTGACAAGCTACCGATGTCCGTTGGAAAGGCATAATGTCTATTGTTAGGAGAGAAAAGGGTTGTTTACCATAATCTCTCTGATCGAAGAGAATGTGTGTAGAATAGGCAATGATAACGAGGGAGGAGGAGAGGAGAAAGAAAAAGAGACAACAGACAGACGAGAGAGACAATAACAGAAATAGACAAACAAAAAGAGAGAGACGAACAGTAACAGAGATAGACAAACAGATAGAATAGCAATGATAACGAGGGAGGAGAGAGGAGGAAAGAGAAAGAGACAGACAGACGAGAGAGACAATAACAGAAATAGACAAACAAAAGAAGAGAGAGACAGACAGTAATAGAAATAGACAGCGAGAGAGACGAGACAGTAATAGAAATAGACATACATATAAAGAAGAGAGAGAGACGAGACACTAAGAGACGGACAGAAAGAAAAAAAACGAAAGAGAAAAAGAACGACACAGTAACAGATGTGAATCATGGTATAATGGTAGTTTGTACAAAATACCCTTATTATAGTTGTAAGAGGAGGGTGGTGGGTTGGGGTATGGTAGAGGGCACTAGTCTGTTATTTTCCATACCTGACACACGGTGAAACTATAATCATATGGATTCTCTTTTACAAGACATGATTCTCCTATCACAGAGTTGTAAAGAGCGTGTTGTAAACAAGTGGAAATGAGTGAGTGCTTCCTTGTTTGTTTTGTCGCTTTTTGTTTGTTGTTTGTTATTTTTCGTCGAATTGTTGGTAATATATATATATATAATATATATATTATATATATATATATATATATATATATATACATATATGTTTATATACGTTACACTGTGCATACACCTTCATATTTACTGATATCATATCCATTCCCTTTCATAGCCCCGTCTTCCATGCAAGAAGTTTATGATATTAAACCCGCCAAGATTTCATACGTCGGACTCCATCACGTCCCATTATACTAACCGTCCCTCCCGCTGACGACCCACCCTAAGATAGCCGCCTGCTCTGAACGATCTTTTTTCTGATCTTTCTCTCTCATATTTCGTCTCTTTATCTTTTTTCTCTTGCTACCCCTCCCCCAACGATGTATGTATCTTTCAACGAGGGAAAAGAGAAAGTTGGGGGTGACAGTGGAGTACTTTTGACACCTGAGATAACTTTTTTTTTTTCCTGGTCGCGGACACAAACTGTGCTGGATGAGATTTGTTCCCTTGGCTGGAACGCGACCCGGAATAAATCATCGTCTTAAATACCGATACTCTACGCGCACAATAGATCGAATATACCATTGTTAAAAACACAAAGAAGAGAAATTAACGTATGAAAATAAAGAATCATAAAAAATGGGAGTTATTTTTAAACCCAGGGATGACAAATTAGAAAACGAGTGTTGAGACGTGGTAGGAGAACGGAGGAGGTGGAGGTATGGAGCTAGGAGAAGTGAGAGCCTCTTATATTTAATCGTCTGTTGCTTTTGCTAGAAGGACGGCCAGTCTTGTGTTTACAGACATGGAACGGTCGTTACATCGTTTGAAAATGATAAAAGTAATGGCGCTTATGTACTCAAGTTATATATAGGTATTCAGATTAAATCCTTCTCCTCCCATTTCTCGTCTCCTTTCTACTGATTGTGCTGATACTACCCTGCAAATATTTCAGCAAAAAAAGGAAAGAGAGAGAGAGAGAGAGAGAAAGAAATGGGTGGTGGTTCTTTCAATTAAGTTTCTGCAATCACAAACTTAATTGAAAGAACCACCACCCATTTCTGTCGTTTTGCTGTTTCTTCATACGTGTGGTTCTGTGGTCATTTTGCGGTAAAAGAATGCAACAGTTTTAATGTTTTGAATAATATATGTTTTTCAGGGCAAATTTTTGGATTGTAGTGTATTGTTCGAAATTTTGTCTGTGTTCCTGTCTCTTTCACTTCTTGTCTCTCTCTCTCTCTCTCTCTCTCTCTCTCTCTCTCTCTCTCTCTCTCTCTCTCTCTCTCTCTCTCTCTCTCTCTCTCTCTCTCTCTTTCTCTCACACACACCACACACCACACACACACACACACACAACACACACACACACACACACACACACACACACACACACACACACACAACACCACACAAACACACACACAAACAAAACACAAACAACACCACACACAACAGTCACACGTACACACACACACAACACAAACAGTCACACACACACACACAAACAAACAACACACGTACACACACCACAAACAACAGTCACACGCACACACACACACAACACACACACACAACACACCACACACACACACAGACACACACACACACACAAGTAACAAACAAACAGTCACACACATGCACTGACACGTAGGCTCCTCCATTCCCTCAGACACACTAATAATAATCTTTCTGACGACATCCAACGTCTCCTTGAGGTTTCCTTTAGGCTTTACAGACACAGCTGACGCGTCGGTTCCCAGACTCTGCCCCCTCCCCCCCCCCCACCCACCTCTCCCCTTTTCCTTTCCCCCTTCCTTACGCTGTCTCTTTGTCTCTTCCTCTTCTTCCTTTTTTCGCTTTCTCTATTTTTTTTTTTTTTTTTCTTTTCTTGTTCTCCGTGTCTTTTTGTTACGTCATTTTTCCTTCTTCCTTATGTCGTCTCTCTGCCTCTTCCTCTTCTTCCTTTTTAGCTTTCTCTGTTTTCTTTTTGTTCTCGTTTGCTGTCCATTCTTTTTCTTCCTTCATACCTTCTTTCTCCTTCCTTTCCTCTTCGGCTAATCCTCTTCCTTCCCCTTCATTTCTTCCTTCCTGTCTCTTCCTCTTTCTCCCACGTTCCTCTCTTTTTCCTCTTCCCCCTTGCTTTCCCTCTTTCTTTTTCCTCTTTCTTATTTTTTTTTCTTCTTCTCTTCCCTTCTTCTCTCTTCCCCTCTCTTCCTCCTCTCTCTCTCCCCCTTTCTCTCTCTCTCTCTCTCTCTCTCTCTCTCTCTCTCTCTCTCTCTCCTCTCTCTCTCTCTCTCTCTCTCTCTCTCTCTCTCTCTCTCTCTCTCTCTCTCTCTAAAACGCTCTTTCCCCCTACCTCTTCCTCCCCACCCACCCCCCTTCCCTCCCCACCCCTCCTCCCTCCCCGCCACCCCCCTCCTTCCCTCCCCCTCCCCACCCCACCCCCCACCCAGCCCTCGCCAGACACTTCCCTTATTTATTGGCACTCTCTTGCCCCTTGCTTTCTCCGGCGGGTGGTCGCAGACAGGTGTGGCGATGGCGCAGGCTGTTGGGGGTGTGGTGTGTTGGGGGTTGTGTGGAGCAGATTTTGTTGGTGGTGGAGGTTGTTGGGGATGTTGTGCGCAGATTTGTTGTTGGGTTTGTAGATTTTGTGGTTTAGGTGTTTAGGAGCAGATTTTGTTGGTTGAGGTTGTTGGGGGTTGTTGTGGGTGTGATATTGGGGTTGTGGTGTTTGGTGCCAGACTGCGTTGTGTTGGGGTTGGTGTGCAGACTGTTGTGGTGGTGGGGTGTGTGTGTTGGTTATTAGTAGTGTGGGGATTGTAGTGGTGCAGACTGTGGTGGGGGTTGTTGGTTCCAGACTGTGTTGTTGGGGTTGTAGGTTGTGATGCTGGGGGTTGTGGTGGCGCGGCGTTGTTGGTGGTTCTGTTAGGGGTTGTGGTGGCGCAGTGTTGTTGCTTAATGCTTGATGTTGTAGGGGCTGTGAATGAGGGTGTTGTGGGTTGTGGTGGTGTTGTAGCGTGGTTGGTGTTGTCAGGAATGGTACGTGTTGGAACAGTGGGATGTGGTGATGATGAATGGTAGGTTATGGTGAGATTATGATGACTTATGGCTATGGTGTTCATGGTGGTTGTGAAAATAGTGACTATGGCGAGAATGGTTTGGTTGAGGTGATTGTAATGCTCTTAGTTATGGTGTTTATGGTGATTTGGGTTATGGTTATTAAGATAATGACTTGATTATCATAGCAGTTGTATAATGACATGATTATATTAGATATTAAGTAATTTTGTACATATAAGTATCGTCTCATCTTGCCTTTAATTCTGTTTCTTGTCCTCAGTAAATTTATTTATATGCTTGGAAATACCTCATTCACTCGGTTATACTAGTGTTAAGTTTTCGTAATTTTTTCCATGTTTTGTTATGTAATAGGAGTCTTTTTTTTCATGTCTTGTATTTGTAGTATTGTAGTTTTTTTTCTCTTTTCTTACTCCTACTTCCTCCACTTCTCATTCTCATTCCCCCTTCTCCTCCACCTCCACCTCCATTCCCTCCTCCACCTCCACCTTCCACCCCTCCCTCCACACCCCCACCCCCTCCTTTCACCCCACCTCCCATCCCCTCCCCACCTCCACCATTCCCTCCTCCACCTCCCTTCACCCCCCCTCCCTCCACCCCACTCCTCCACACCCCCCAACCCCCTTCTTTCACCCTATGGCAGGTGTACACGCGACCCAACACCTACAGTGGGCTCGGGTCGGCTTCAATATAATATAGGTCAGATGAAACACTTTCTAATGTGCTCAGGAGAGTTCCACTGAAAACACCCCATAACTCTTTCTCTCTTTCTTTTCCTTCTTCCCTCGCTAGGAGATACGGGTGTATGTAAATTTCAAGTCCATAAAAAAAAAGAGAGAGAGGGAGAAAAAAAAATCGAGAAAAGGAAGAGAGGAGAGAGAAAGAGCGAGAGAGAGAAGAAAAAAAGAAGAACGTTGATGGTAATCTCGAGATGCTCCGTACAAGGAAGGGAGTCGCTCAGCTGGTACTGTTCCGAGGAAGTTATGGCTAGCGTGAAGAGATGTGTGGTGGGGGGGGGAGAAGATAGAGGGGAAGGTGAGAGATGAGGAAAGGGAAACAGAGCGATGAGAGGGGAGGGGGGGGAATAGGGAAGGGTGAGAGATGAAGGAAAGGAAAGAGAGAAAGAAGAGGAGAAAGAAGAGAGAAAGAGGAAGGAAGGAAGAGGAGAAAAAAGAGAGGGAAAAGAAAGAGAAGAGAGAGAGGAAAAAAATAAAGGGAAAGGAGAAGCGAAGTGAAGGAAGGTGGAGAATATAAAGACAGAAGAGTAAGAAAGGCAGAGAATAAGAAGGGAGGCGGAGAAGGAAGAAGAGAAGGAGATGGAACAAGAGAGTGAAGGGTATAGATAGAGAGAAAGGGGGGGAGGGGGGGTTGGGCAGAGGGCACAGGTAAGGAGGGCCAGGGTAGAGGGGGGGGGGAGAGAGAGAAGGGGTCAGATACATCACGTGGAGGCGGAGGCGGAGGAGGAGGAGAAGGGGAGGGAGAAGATAATAAAGATGTTTATGAAGACTCATAGAGAGTTGTTCTCGTTGGTCTAGAAATGGGGTGAAGTTTAATTAAATACATGTGTGTTGTGTGTGTGTGTGTGCGCGCGTGTGTGTGTGTGATGCCGAAAAACGAATAAAAAAAAATAGGTAAATTATATGAATTAAGTATATAAAGAAACTAAAACTAATATATACATAACATTAAACGAAAAAAAATACAAAATGAATAGACAAATGAAATAATAAAAAAAAAAACATCAACAAAAAAAATCCCCCCCCCCCCAAAAAAAAGTCCCCATCATTTCAAAAAGACAAAATAGATAAAAAAGTCGAAGCCGAAACCGAAGCCAGAGCCAAAAAAGTGTTCGAACCGACTCGGAGAAAACCACCGGTGTTGTAAAGTTGTAATAGGATACGATCTCCTCAGGAACCGGTGGCGGGGTATGAATGGGTAGCAAGTTATTCCAGACCACAATGAATGGGGCTGTTCGGACCCGTCAGAGGCTGGAATGAATGGGCCCATAGATTCTAGCAGACCGAATGTATGTTGTTGTTTGTTGATTATTTTATTTTTTTTTTTTTTTTTGGGGGGGGAGGTGAGATCTATTTTTTTTTTGGGGGCAGACTGATTTTTTTTTGGGGGGGGAGACAGAATATTTTTTTTTTTGAGGGGAGAGGTTTATTTTTTTTGGGGGGGGGGTGAAATGTTTTTTTTTTTTTGGGGGGTGAGAAATTTTTTTTTCTTTTGGGGGGGGGGCAGACTGTTTTTTTTTTTTTGGGGGGGGGGGAGGTCTGGAGAGTATGTGGTTCATAAAAATTAAACTGAAGTATTTTGGATACAAATAATATCGCTTTTAGACGGCAGATTTCACATAACATTCCACGTGTTAATTCATTGTGAACTCTCGTGTATGAATGAGGAATGAATGGGTAAGTGTGTGTGTGTGTGTCCCTGTATGTATTTATGTGCGTATTCATGTGTAAGACATGTGTTGCCCATGCAAGTGTGTGTGTGTGTGTCCCCTGTATGTTTATGTACGTATTCATGTACACCAAGATTGTTTATTCTATCATTATTATATATTATATTTAATTATCATTATTATTATTCATATTATTACTACCCTGTATGTATTTATGTACGTATTCATGTACACCAAAATAGGGGAATGTTTCAGCTACCTCTTATTGGCTTCAAATAGATTACTATTATTATTTATTACTGTTATTATCATTATTACTGTTTATTAATCTTTTCTAGATGTCGAAAAATAATTGTAAACTTTGATGACGTAAAAATCTTATAATTTGATGATGGTAGAAATGAGAAAGAGAGAAAAACGATTAATTAAGGGAAGCAGAAAACAGCAAGATTAAAAGATTAATTAAAGATTATTATGAAATATATTAACCAGACATACCATAGCTAACAAAGAGACAGCACAATTAATAAATAATTTAGAAAATAACAAAGCAGACGCTAAAGAATTACAAAAAAAAGAGAGAGAAAGAAAGAAAGAGAAGATAGAGAGAGAGAGAGAGAGAGAGAGAGAGAGAGAAAGAGAAAGGAGACCAGGAGATATACGTAAACAGAAGAAAAAAATACAAAAAATACCCATCAGACAGACAGACAGACAAGATACCAGACAGACAGACACAAGATCCCAGACGAACGCACACAAGATACCAAATAAACGCACACAAGATACCAAGCATACCAGACAGACACAAATACCAGACAAACACACATACAAAATACCAGACACAAATACCAGACAGACACACCATACCAGACAGACACACATACAAAATACCAGACAGACACGCACACAAGATACAGACAGACAACAAATGCCAGACAGACACGCACACGATACCAGACAGACACGCACACGAGATACCAGACAGACAGGACACCCAAGGGCCAGACAGACAGGTCAGGTTAACACTTTCACTAACTTCGCCTCAGGTCAATTCTCTCCGGAAGTGACGACGTGCCTCGGTCAGAACGCACGATATTTCTCTCTCTCTCTCTCTCTCTCTCTCTCTCTCTCTCTCTCTCTCTCTCTCTCTCTCTCTCTCTTCTCTCTCTCTCTCTCTCTCTTCTCTCTCTCTCTCTCTCTCTTTTCTCTCTATTTATTTTTCTCTTTCTCTTTCTTTCTTCGTCTCTCTCTCTCTCCCTCCCTCCCTCCCTCTCTCTCTCTCTCTCTCTCTCTCGTTATAAATATAAGTTTTTATATTTATTTATATTTCTTAACTCTTTAATCATCATCCATATCTTCGAAATTATTCAAGATACACTCAGTAAAACAAAAACAGATTATTTAATGATCAATCTCATAATTCGATTCTACAGAATGAAAGTCGGTTATTCTCTCATCGATACTTATATACTCTCTACTTCGTCTCATTACCATCTATCTGTCCTTTTCATTCTAATATTTGACTGTTATTAATTATCCCTATTTCGCTTTAGTTCCTTCCCCTGTATTATTCATTTTCCTTTTTATTATTTTTGATAATTCTTTAGTATTAAATTCTCCGACAGATATGTCTCCTTACAATACTATTTGTATATTATTACTCTTTATCTCTCTTCTTTTCATCTTAATATCTATTAATGTGAATTTGTTTATAGAATATAATAATTTACGCTTCGCTCACGTATAGTTTCACATGTTCTTACCTTATGCTTATTTTCATTGTTTATGTTACCTTTTTATTCTTTTTTTTTCTCACACTATATATTTTCAGTTTAATTTCATTATATTACCAGTTTCGATTTAATCATATCTTTCTCATAATAAATAATATTATCATATACGTTATTTTGATCAGCTTTTGTAAAAATAAATTATATTATATATTATTATTAATTTAGCTTTTAACTATTCTATTTTTTTTCTCGCTTCATATTTTATAATCTTAAATCCTTCTATTTATCACATAATTATATTTTATAATATATATAAGTTATAATATATATTATATATAATATATATATATAACATATACATACATATACAACACTATTTATTTCTATCAGATTATATCTCTCAATCCCGATTATTATTTTCCTTCCTTTTTTTCCATTTTTTTATCATCTAAATAAAAAGTTTTAGTATAACAATTATTTCACGGCATAGTTTTTACCCCGACTGTCAAGCGGTGACTCCAACTGCTTGCCTAAGGATGTAGTGTGCGTGTAGAGTAGATCATAGATACAGTGCCTGCTGTGTGTGTGTGTGTGTCGTGCTGTGCGCTTCGTAGTTGTCGTGTAGTGTGGTGTCAAGTGGAAGGTGCCTAGTGTGTGCCTGCTGTCTCGCGTAGTTCTGGTGCTGTTGTTCAGTAGGTATCAGAGTAAGGTCAAGGCGGAAGTAGGTATAGTAAATACCACGGATCAAAATTCTCTCTCTCTCATCTAATACTAATATAATATATATATATAATATATATTATTATATATATACATTTATATATATATGTTGTTATATATATATATATATATATATTATATATTATTATATAATATAAATATATATATATATAAATTATATAAT